AAAAAAAAAAAAAAAAAAAAAAAAAGGTATCCATAAATAAAGTTAAAGGCTTTTATGGAAAATCTGTCTGCCGATGTCATGATAATATGTGAAAAGTCAGATATCTGTTCTCTTTTTATAACAGGTCTCTCTAAAATTAAGTTAATACAACTGGGTTCTTACTAAATCCTAGCAATTTTTCTTTCTTTTCCCAATTGATGCCTTTTTAAAGGATTAAAGGGATGCAAAAACAAACGGATGCATTTTTTTATCTACAATTTTCCTGTTTTTGTTTTTTTTACTGCTTTTTTACTTACCGTAAATTAATGAAAAGAATTGTGTTGGTAATATTTGTAATATAGGAATATTATTAGGTCTGCCTTTGTTCTTTTTAATCGTTATAAAGCTGTGGTCTGTTCCACATGTGTTATCTCTCAGTAGAATAACTCTTATCTCAATTTTCACTTAAAGTCTTACAAAACCAGCAATAAATCAGATAGCTTAACCTCCATGAAAGGTCAAAGGTTATTAAATATACTTGTATTTATTGTACTTATGTTCTTAAAACACACAAGATATTTTTGACGTTTTTGACCTATTTTGAAGCAACCTTACAGAACATACACCCTATAGCTGCTTCAGATGTGCCCTCCAAGTTAACCGCCATCCCAGCGGCTCAGGTAAGATCTTGTCTTATCAGAACGAAATTGTGGCCAAATCCTGGACCTGGGGACAAAAAAAATTATGTTTTTTTGTTTGTTTGTTTGTTTTCCGTTTGTCTCAAAAACTTCTAAAATATTCCATAGGTCATAAATCTCCACTGTGTCCAATGGGCTCTGAGGTGGGAGTGATTACTGTGATATCACAACAAAAAACGGGACTTTGCCTTAGGACGCAGCCAGCCCCCAACAATGTCAATCGCTCCTACCCTTGAAGGTTATTTTAGCTGGAAGCACACCTTGCTTAATGCTCTGAGGAACTTATGGCCACTGTGACACGCAATCCAGTTTGATTTCTACGCTTCAAGTAAGTTGAGCATTCACATCTTTCATTTATTATACCAGACCAAAGCACAGAAGATAACAACTTTATATGCTTAATCCAACACTTTATGCAACTTATTTCAACGGCTATTAAAACAAGTGATCTCCAGCCTTGGTGATAATTAATAGATTTTTTGGATATTTCAGAAAAGTGAAATGAAATCAATGACAGAATTGCTTGTTTGATATTTTAACTATAGTATTTGAATCTTATTTTTGTTTGTTTGTGGGGTCTTGATTTGAAGCTAAACTTAAATTTGTCTCTTTTTTTGTCCTACTATTAAACCCAGCCCATAATGCAAATTATAAATCAGTTTTAAACAGCAGGATTTAACTTTGTGATTGGCTTGAAACCAGTCACTGGAATGATCAGAAACACTGATTATTTAAATTCTTCATGGTGGTTAATTTGTCTCCAGTGCTTTGTTTTTTCTTTATTGACTTTTTCTGCAACTATCTTGCATAAAAAAAAATCCTTGACTGTTTAGAAGAAAAACAAAAACAGCTACAGTATACATTTTGTTGGGTTTTTATGTTTGGTTTATGTTTGAACTGCTCTGTTACCAAAGTTTATTTTGCATGATGGCCTGTTTTTCATTGACCTTTTTGAATACCATTGAATACCATTCCTCACCTACTCACTAACAGTAGCCTTTTTTTTGGGCCTTTGATAACATCTGATTGACTGGAACACTGTTTTAACAACACTTGGCTCTACCGTCCACTATAATCAACAGTCTGCAATCCTCACGCCTTCAGTTGCGTAATTAAACCATATGAGGTGTTAAAATTAGAACACATAATAAACCATTCATCATAAACTGCGATACACATTAGCCACACGTTCACTTCCTTAAGGCAATAAAACCTCAGTTTCAGAGGAAGGACAACCTTTATTATTGATCACTGACATGCCTTGAAATAAACCGAATAGTGAACATGTTATCAGTGGCATGTTAAGCAGCTGTCAGTGAAAAAATATGATAGAAATGCGCTGGCGTTTGTCCTATGTTTTTCTGGAAAGGAGGACGTGTGGTTAAAGTTTGACATTTCCTGTAGCATTTGGAGGTGAAATCTATTAGAAGCAGTGACGAGTCAATTATTTACTCTTAAAGAGGCCGAAACTTATTAATACTAACAGTGAACTGAGATCGATTCTGCGTAACTGCTTGGGCTTCTGGAGGATAGAAATATCTATTTAACTTTCTTTGAAACTTTCCCTATTCATTTAAGGAAACGTTTTGGTCTTCATCAGATCAAATTTGGAATATCACAAACCAAAGTGTAATACAAAAGAGATAAGCCCAGCAGATTATAAATTATGTTTTCTATTATTAGGTAAATCATTCTCTCTAACTGTCACGGTTAAATACATTGTTGAGAAAAGGCCCATTTCCATGTCTGATAGTAAGGTCAAAACAGTGACCCTAGTTTAATAGAAAGAGTATAATCTTACAGGAAAGCTATGAGTTTTATGCCACATTTCTAGGGTTGCAGGTGGATTTGTCCTTATGAAAGCTTTGGTTACAGTGTGTCACTGGTTCATCCCTCCTAAATTTTCAAATGGCTGAATTACCTTCTTAGTATGCAGTCAAGTTGTTTAGAGTCCTGCTAACAACCTGATTATTGACTCAGGTGTGGTGAGGCAGTGACTCATAAAAGTTGAAGGACACCAGACCTTGTGGACTGGGAGACCCCTGGTTTACAGATCAGGCGAGAACCAACTCAATTACTATCCTATGCAAAGCAAATCTAAATTAGGAATGCTTGACAGTTTTCATGATAAGTTAGGGTTGCTATTTCTGTATTTTATATTAGGCTCTATATTAACTCACCCCTTTGTGCTTCGTACAAAAAAGTTGCAAAAAGTCCTGCATTATCATCACTGAATTCTATGATATATTACATAAGCTTTTAAAAGCACCAAATCTGCTTATTTGGCATGCAATGAAAAGTAGAACAGAGGAAAGTTTTCTTGAAGGCCTTATCAAGGACAAGACAGTAAAATAAAATGACTTTTCAAACACCTCTGAAAATTATAGGGTAAAGTTAAAGTCTAGCTACTTTGAAGTTTGAACCATAAAGCAAACATATTAAGATATGCTGTGACTCTTAATTTGAAGCAAAGTAGTAAGAGTGACAACAAATATAAACTTTCATGCAATAAAACATTTCAGAATGGGGTATAAAGGAATGTTTTATAACTGTATTTGATAGAGCAGAAACTACAGTCACATGTTCTGTGATATGAACAAACGTAATGATGTTACACAATAATCTGTATTGCCATGTCATTGTTTCATTCCAGAGGAGACTGAAAGACCCTTATCATCAAAATGAATGCTGAAAGGGATGAACAGATCATTGACACCTACTACACCTCAGTTCATACATCCTGCAGGAAAAATGGAAAGGAGAGAAGGCAGATCCGCTACATGCAAAAAGATGGCCGGTTTCTGGTGTCATTCCAAAAACCCCACGGAGACTGGGGCCCATATTTGCTGGACATCTTCACCACCCTCATAGAGATTCGATGGAGCATGATGATCCTCCTCTTCTCACTTTCTTACATTGTCACCTGGATGTTTTTCGGTCTCTGTTATTGGCTTATTGCCTACATACACGGAGACACTGAGAGTGTAGATAACAGTCCTTGTGTGGATAATGTGCGTGGTTTTACTGGAGCATTCCTGTTCTCGATGGAGACCCAGGCAACTATTGGCTATGGCAACAGGGGGATGACGGAAAACTGCATTGGGGCTATTATTGTGGTAACTATCCATGATGTATTTAGCTGCTTTCTTGATACAATTATTATCGGCATTGTCGTGGCAAAAATGGCTTCTGCCCGAAAGAGGGCTCAGACAGTGGGATTTAGCAGTTGTGCAGTTGTCAACCTACGAAATGGGGTTCTTTGTCTCTCATGGCGTCTTGGAGACTTCAGAGGTAATCACATTCTTGAAGGGGTAATCACGGCCTATCTTGTTCGCCATGTAAAGCAAAAAGTTGGTTCTGTTAGGATGTTGTACCAGGACATAGAGCTTGAAAACCACCATGTTGTCCTTGCTACTCCTACGACAATTATTCACAAGCTAAAACCAGGGAGCCCCCTCTACAAAATGGGTCCCGATGATTTGCAAGAGGAGAACTTTGAACTGGTGGTCTCCTTCACCTATACAGGAGACTCTACAGGTATGCTCCACCAGACACGCACGTCATATACTCCGAGAGATATTCGCTGGGGGCAACGTTTTCAGGATATTCTGAAAGTGGGAAAGAAGCGCTACAAGGTGGACTATGCCCTCTTCAATGAGACCACCTGGGTTTCTGTGCCCATGATCTGTGCAGAGGCTTACGAAAGAGAGACAAGACATCTTAATGGGGATGATACGCTTCTACCATCAGTCACAGAAAGTGGGCAAATCTACTGGACCAACAATAACACCCCTGAGGAGGTGGTTGTACAAACTTCTCTGTAAAGAAAGATATATATATGCATTGTTCTACTGTAGTTAGTATAAAAAGGTCAGACCTTTTCAATGTGTTTGTATATAGATTGAAATCCAAAGTTTTAATTTATTGTTTGCTTTGTAAGAAGTAAGTTGAGAGTAAGATAAATGACCACCTTGTTAGTACAAATAAAGCTTTTATCTTTTGTCCCTTAAGGTTGCATTTCTTTATTTAATGCATCACCTTTAACTACAATTATAGCTCTTTGTCTTCTAGTGTATTTCTCCACAAGAAATACAGCACATGGCTGAAATGTTTGCCCCATCTTTCACAAAAAGCCCAAGCTTAGTCGGACAGAATAGATTGCATATGAGCACATTTTTATTTCAAATCATGCCATAACATTTTAATTTGGATATAGGTTTGGACTTTGCCTGGGCCATTTAAACTCATGAATTAGAATGGCCCATTCAAGTCAAGCTGTAGCTATTTTTAGGGCTAGTTAAAAAAAAACATGTGATTCTAAAAGAAGTATTGAAATAAAGGTGGGGTCAGAGGGTATTAGTGAGATCAAACTTCTTATCTTTGTCAATTAGTTTGTTACTATCAAGCATTTAGCACCAAATTAGGATATTGCATCACTGCATATCAAAAAGGAATCATTATACAAAACTAATAATAATAATAGTATTTGATATTAAAGGTTCATTCTATTCTATTTATTGATGGATTAAATTATTGACTTGATTGATTGACAGTATTGATCTAACAAAGGAGAAATTTACTTGTAACATTGGCTCAAATAGTCAAAAAGAATGTGCCAAAGGCAGAAAAGGTCCATGGGGGGTATATACAGTGCATCTTCACACACACACACACACGCACACACACATATATATATTTTTATATATTTATGACAGCTGAAGTCTTTTTTTTTTACAGCAGGATTATTATACAGGTTTTTTTCACAGGGTATTTAGATGGGTATTTATATATATATAGATATTGCGCTGGGTATCAAATATAAAGGAACATGTTAGTGCACAGGGTATTAGAATAGAAAAGGATAGAATAGAATAGAAATTCTTTATTGCCCACATTAGGGAAATTCTGGTGTTACAGCAGAAAAAAAGATTATAGAAAAAAAAAGCCAATGTGAACCTTTATCAATTATCAAATTAATTACAGGGAAAACTGACTGATGCAATGTCTATGCTTATCAGGGATGCATTATATCCCTCTAATTATACATTTAAAAGCTGAAAAGATTACTTTAATTGTGTTTTCATAGCAGATTTTCTACATGTCTTACTTCCCAAATTAGTGGCAAGCGGCTCTTCATTAAGCGCCTAACGGAGCAGCCTTTGTAACAGCTGAACAGCGCCGCATTGTGTTCACTTATGGTATAAGCGGCGCAGACGGCTTTCAAATCTGCCTTTTAGCACTTAGTTTATTTTGGATGGATTAATTACGAAGGTAAACCACTAATTTTAGTTCAAATAAACTGTTAATCTGCATATTTACTATTTATATGAGACAAAACTAAATATAAAACTGTCAGAACCTTGAAGAGGCGCACCTGGTTCCTATTGGCTGTTTCTGCTGCGGGGGCGGGGTTTTGTAAACGACTGTTTTACAAAGTCTTCTGTTCAGAACCACAACTATCTGCTTCAGTATCGCTGGATAGGGGTATGGCTGGATTCAAAGCTGCTCAAGGGAAGGCGGGAGAAGATAACAAACCGGACAAAATATCAAGAGACAGAAGGACTGTGAATCTGGAACAGATCATATTTTTAACAGTGAAAGAAGATCCAGTTTGCGCTCCAAGTTCCAACAGGTAGGTGATGTCTCTTTTTTTGTACATAGAAAAAAACAAATTTATTGAGGGCAAATATTTATAATATTCGAAAACTCATTTAACCTTTACAATTTTCAGTTTTAATATTTAGCAATGAGCTAAATTATAACTTCACATTTTGTCTGAAGAGATAAATTTGTTTCATTCATTCAGATTAATGGGTAAGTGCGCGGATACAGCTTTTTAAATCATTAAATACTTCACTTTATCTATCAATTAAAATGTAAAAGAAAATTAGATAAATTTTGGAAATTTAAATTGTATCTATAAATTTAATTAGTTTAAACATATCTTTACCTAAATTATTGATATATTGATTTTTGAAATACAAAAGAGAGCAGTTTTATATAATCCACTTCCCATCTGCCTCAGTAGTTAGCTCCATCAGATAGGAAATGCAAAGCAAACAATCACAGACTGTGATGATTCTGCAGCTCTTCATTTATCACTATGCTACAAATAACATCATTAAGTGATTTGATGTAGAGAGGCCAAAAGGCAAATAATGCTTTATGTAAAGAGGCGATCATTGAACCAACAGATACTATTTTCATCAACAAACCTCTGCACTGTGCACATATTAGGTCCACAGGAGATTAACAAACCAAAAAAAAAAAAAAAAACCTATTATAGTTGCTTGGACCAAATTTTGGTTTGTCTCCATTGATTTCCTTATATTTGAGCTTACATTATTTATTAATGCTTTTTTTTAATTATTATTATTATTATTTTTTTTTAGGAAACATATGTTTTACTTATCAGTTTTTTTTCCCCAAATGACTTTAAATGACTAATTTAGGGAAAACAAAATGTGTAACTTTTTAAATATTTATTTAATTATAAATTTAAGTTTTTTAATACTAGGCATGTATAATTACCATCAGATAAATAGGAGAGCCGGGTTATGTTAGAACTAGTAGAGCACATCAGGCAGCATGTCAATTGCATTTTGTTGCCTGTGGTATTATATTCTATTGGTCTTCTCATACCACATGCAACATGTCAATAAATTGTCTTTTTTTTTTGTTGCCCTTGGTGCTAGGCTGGACAAAATTCAAGGTTACTAGTTCAGTAATACTGCTTCATCAACATTTTGAATTAAGAAATCTAAAAGAGAAATTTATGGATACTATTTCTGTGGTGTGCACAGATAAACATCTGTACTGTCTTCATAGTGTATTGAACCGCTATTTTTTTCTGAAGAAACATCCCAAAACTAGATGAATATGAACGCACAATTATATTTGCATCCACATGGATAATGCTATTAACTTGGTACATGTTAGTTTTTGATCTCATGCTTCTGTCTTTGTCTTTATATTCCATAGCCTCTTTTACTGATGACGTTCAAAGCAAGTGTCAGAGAGGAGTGAACTGCCCTCACCGACGGTGCCAGAGAAGAGCAGCCTCCGTACAGGCCAGAGTCCTGTTGTCCACATTTTCTGCCCTAGTTTGTCCCCTGCAACATTCAAAACTGTTTCTCCAACGCTTCTACCAAAAACTGAAACTGTTTTCCAAAGCAGAAGCGGCCCAGCCCCCACAGTTGGAAGTCATGGGGAGCCTGCGTAGCCACCGTTACAGTATTGTGTCCTCGGAGGAAGATGGCATGAAGTTAGCGTCTATTGCCGTTCCAAACGGCTACGGGAATGGCAATGTAAACAAGGCGCTCGCAGGGCAGCAGCGTCAGAGTCGCTTCGTAAGCAAGGATGGCCACTGCAATGTGCAGTTTATCAATATGAGCGAAAAAGGCCAGCGTTACCTGGCAGATATCTTCACCACCTGCGTGGACGTCCGCTGGCGCTGGATGTTTGTCATATTCTGTCTCTCCTTCCTTTTGTCATGGTTGTTTTTTGGACTCGTCTTCTGGGTTGTGGCACTGGTATATGGGGACTTGGAGAACGAGACTCAATTATGTGTTTCCAATGTGGACAGCTTCACTGCTGCCTTTCTGTTTTCAGTCGAGACCCAAACAACAATTGGGTATGGTTACCGCTATGTGACCGAGGAATGCCCTATCGCTGTTTTCATGGTGGTGTTTCAAAGCATCGTTGGCTGCATTATTGATGCTTTTATTATTGGTGCCGTCATGGCCAAGATGGCAAAACCAAAGAAGAGGAATGAGACTCTGGTGTTCAGCCACTACGCCACAGTAGCAATGAGGGATGGTAAGCTTTGCCTGATGTGGCGGGTGGGAAACTTGAGGAAGAGTCACCTGGTAGAGGCTCATGTCAGGGCCCAGCTCCTCAAGTCCCGCACCACAGCAGAGGGAGAGTTCATCCCCCTGGATCAGGTAGACATAGATGTCGGCTTTGACAGTGGGATCGACAGAATCTTCCTCGTGTCTCCAATTACCATAGTGCACGAGATTGACGAGGACAGTCCTTTCTACGAGATGAACAAGCAGGAGTTGGAAACCTCTGAATTTGAGATTGTTGTGATTCTTGAGGGCATGGTGGAGGCCACTGCCATGACGACTCAATGTCGGAGCTCCTACGTGGCTGGCGAGATCCTCTGGGGCCATCGCTTCGAGCCAGTCCTGTTTGAAGAGAAGAACTACTACAAAGTTGACTACTCTCGTTTTGAAAACACTTATGAGGTGCCCAGCACTCCCACCTGTTCTGCCAGGGAGCTGGCTGAAAAGAAATCCAATGCTTCCAGTCTGAGGAACTCTTTTTGCTACGAGAACGAAGTGGCTCTTGAGAAAGTTGAGATGGAGGAGGAGTTTGAGGAGGACAACAGCAAGTTGATGAGGGACGTTGATGTTTGCGCTCTTGAGGACACAAGCATAGATTTGGCTACAAGCACTGAATATACCCTGGACTCTTTGCCTTTAGAAGCAAGGCCTCTGACAACAGAATCAGAGATATGACTGCAAGGTGATTAAATGTTCTTTAACTTTAACCTGGTTAGTATTTTTAATAATTGCATGACAGTTTGTAGTGACCGGGTTTTAAAAGTCTCATGCAAGAGCAGAGTGTGCACAAAACACCAAATATAAACATGTTATATTATTTATGGTGACACTGCTTGCGTTGATTGTGTTATAATATGGGTTACATGCCATCATGCACACATAGTGCAGTATGTTTCTCTTAACAGTTATAAGATCCGTTCGATTGATAACATATTTTTTTGTTTGCACATTTTGCATTAAGCATCCTGAACTTAACATTTAATGTTTATTTACAAGTGTCGCAAGGGGGTTGTTCAAAATTAGAATAAAAGGTTTTAACTTGTTTTAAAGGCTAATTGTTAATGAGCTGGTCTCTTAGCAAGAACTTCCAATCCTTCATGGTCAAATAGATAAAAAAGAAATATTATTTGCACAAATTTAAGCACACTACTCTGCTGTAATTTCGTCCATGTAGAGAATCTTTTGCAACATGTGCTTTAACAAAGCCTCCTGCTGGTTTTGCTTTGATTGAGCAAAGGATGCATTAGATTTCAACAGGGCGAAAATATTATTCATTGTTGCAGTTTTTTTCCCGTTCTTGCAGGTTTTTGTGTTTTAATGTGCAATACTGTCAGGGATTAGGAAGAGACACATAACCCAAACATAAGCTTAAGAGGAATGTTAAAGATAAGTGCTGCTAAGTTTTATATTGTAAAGACAGAAATCTCAGAGCCAAACTGTATAATTGCTATTTTTTGTCAGATTGCTAATTGCACATTGGTGTTTTATCTAGCTGTAGAAAAGCATGGTGGAATGTTTTCTAAAGCTTTAGAGCACTTTTTTCTTCCTTAGCACAACTTTTTCCCCAAAGAAAAGCACAAACTGCTTTACTATCCAGAGATAGGTGTTTACGTATTTGCTTTACGTTCAAAATAAAATCTGTCTTTCCTCATCCAGCTTTGGCTGATACACAGAGTGAAGAATTATTCAAACAGTTTTTAATGACAGTTTTTGGCGTGTGAAATGTGCAGAATTTGGAGAAATTCTAGTTACACACTATTCCAAAAGTATTCAAAACTTATGAACTTTTTCAGATTTTGTCCCATTTCTATTTATTTTCCCAAACTTCAAAGTATTCTACAGCTTTTTTGGGATGTAGACCTACACAAGTGCTGCACAGATGTAAAAAGTAATTTCAGAAAAGTCAGAAAAGTGTGGCATGTATTTCTCTTCAGCTCCCATTATACATTTGAAGTTTTTTTCTGCAAGCTTATTGCTCTACTAAAAGGTTTGCCCTTTTTTATTTGCTGAACAACTTAACCAGTGTGAGGCGGGATGTACATCATCTATTAACTGTTTATTTTGTAACACTTGCCACAGCTTTTCGATTGGTTTTAGTTCTGGATTTGACTGGACATCCTATTAGATAATTAGACATTAGACATTTAGACCTTTATGGCATGATTGACCTGGAAGATAACCCTCCAACCTAATCTGGAGTCGTCTCAAGCAAACCAGTCTCTAACTGGTTTACTTACATTATTTTTTATTATATAAATAAATAAATAAATATATATATATATACATATACATATACATATATTAGGGCTGCAACTAACAATTATTTTTCAAATCGATTAATCTGTTGATTATTTATTCGATGAAACGATTATAATCGGATTACTTCAGGAGGTCTGGATGGAGCATATTGACAGAAATTTTTTTTGTTTTTATCTTAAATGCAAGCTTATCAAATTTATTACAATGATGGTATAAGTATTGCTTTAAGTAGGTTTGTAGGGTCTTTACACTTCAGTTAACGATTAATCGTCACTAAATTTCAATTAATCACGATTAATCCAATAAATTGTTTAAGCCTTACTATAATATATATATATATATATATATTTATATATATATACTTCACTCACAACTGTCCTGAAAATGGTGACTCAGCAAAACTCCCATGAAAGACGAGCTCAAATGGAGACCTATTTGAGCTGTGGGCCTTTGAAGCTCCTCAAGTGTTACTTTGGGCATCTTGGCAGTTTTTTTGCAAAATTCTTACTTTAATATTTCTGTTAGTTCAAAGATATATGATTATAGAAAGCTGAGGTTCTTCACCTCAGAGGTTCTTTCACAAATATTCACTTCTTCAGGTTGGTCTATGAACTAAAGTCCAAATAAAACTCACAAGAGTAGGTTGTTGCAGTCTGACAAAATGTGGAAATGTTTAAATGGTATTAATGCTTTTACAATGCACTGTACATTTTCCCAGTTCTGGTGAGGTTATGGCAGACATGACACTTTCTTTGGGTGGTTATCGGTTATGAATGCTAACTGGTATTGCAGTCATAATAACAAAATCCTGCAGGGATAAAATGCACTCATTTTAGTCTTACAGAAGGTTTAATCTTAGTCGTCCTTGTGAGTCAACCTTATGGCTGCCAGAGCACTGTAGTGTTTCTGTTTTAGGTCTTTATTTTTCTACTGTCTTCCCACTTTCCTGCAGAACTCAGATTGTACAGGGTTTTTTTTATCTTTTGTAAATTATATTGCACTGTAGAGTGATAATGCAGTTCTGAAAAACTATTTATGTCATATTTTTTTCAATAAAACACTAAAACAGACTAATTATGATGTTGATGCATTAATAGAACATCAATTTGTGATGACATTATCCGTTAAACTATCTATTATTACTGTTTTTCCTTTTTATTCTTTATTTCAGATGATTTTTTCCCCCTATTCAAACAGGTTTGGACTGAAAGTGTTGACGTTTGTTGCAGCTGCAGAAGAGAAAAATTATTACGCAGATGTTCACTGTATTGTGAACATCTGTGTATATCTGTCTCAGCTCACACCATCATTTACTATAACTCAGCAAAACTGACTCAGACCGGCTCTGCAAAAGCCTGCTGTGCTACATCAGCTTGTTCTGCTGGAAATCATTTTCAATGACAGCAGTGGAAAGAACTCCTCATTCACCTTTTTTAGTCTGTGTCAGTAAACTATGGGGGGAAAAAAATGTGTCCTCCAGGTGTCTTGAAAAAAGGTTTCTAGCTGGGGCACAATTCAACACTGTTCCAACTATTTAAACCTATTTTATTTCATTCCAAATGCAAATTTTTATCAGAACCTATAGGTATTAGATGGTGATGTGATCAAAGTAATATTGCATAGCAAACCAATAATCCAGTGATGAGATGCAGTCAACCGACTGGTCTCCTAGATTAGCATTACTATGCATAAAATGATGTTAATCCATGCATTTTGATCATTGGATTGTATTAGAGATTAAGCAGATGTTACAGTATGACACAATTGTCTGAATTTAATCTTTTTCCATTTACTGCTGGACCCTGCCTGCACTGACTGACAGAATGCAGCCAGTGATTGATCAGACACATCCACAGGAAGGCAGCGTGCCGATTGGATTTGGTTCTACACAGGAAGTGCTTGATGCCTGTGGGATTTTTCCACATTAGCCAATGAGAACAGCACAAACCAGTAGCTTCGTTTAGGAAAAGTAAAAGCTGTTTTTTCTCTAAATTTAAATCTTTTATGCCAGAAAAAAAATCCTTTTCTGAATTATCTGAAAAATGCAGGTCATTTAAAGTAGAATTTAGATTTGTCTTGGATGGAAAAAGGAAAGATATGAAGTTGTTTCCTGGAAACTAATACATGAATGTTTGTTTTTATTGATAATTTGTTTTTGTTTTTTTCTTTATATAAAAAAAGTCACAAAACTTAAAGCGATAGCATTTAACATAACAGCACAATGGCTTCTCAGTCTGTTCAGGATTCTCTGAAAAAATCGACTGCCATGTGTTGGCCGGGGCGCTCCTGTCGATGAGGCTGATGACGTCTTCCCCTGAACTGGCTCATTAACCACTGGCTGATCCGCTTGACCTTCAGATTAATGAGGCAAACATAAACACGAACAAGTCACAAGCTCTGAAAAGTGACGCACAGCACGATTCAACATTAAAATGGAGGAAGAAAACAGACAAAATGGAAAAAAGAAGTGCCATACTCCACATTACTGACCACAGGATTAACAACTAGGACATCAATTTTGACCTGTGGAAGTGTACCTTTTCTGCTCCTGCTGTCATAGCAGGAAAAAAAAAAATAGGACTGGTTTATCTCCATGAATGTCATTCAGATTTTTTTTATACCTATGATTTTATAGTGTGTTGAAATCATTGGCATATTTATTTCTCTGCAGGAAACATTTCAGGACAGAATCATTGCTGTGGATATGTAAAAAGATATATCATTATTATTATCCCACTCCTACGTGCAGAGTATCCGCAGCTTGTCACCCTTGAAATAGCTCTACTCTTTGTGCCAGATTTATGGGTCTTCACTGGACTGCTGAGGTCACGATGAAGCGTCGCTGATATCAATGCAGTCTTTCACATTTTTAGAGTATTTTTAAAAATTAAAACTTTTTTTTTTATAAAGGCAAACTGCAAATGTAAATATATGACACAGTGAATATCATATATTCATTAGTTGTTGGGTTGGAGTTTATTTGCACTTGATTTCCACATTCTTATCTAATCTCCAGCAGGTGTTTTGTGAGAAAAATGCCTCCATTACCATCTAGCTGGATTACAACAATGTCTAAATGATATTCTGTGTCTGTAAAAATTACCTGCCAGCTATATAAAGACACTGGAAAACATGTAAGCAAAGATTTTAATGCCAAAAGTTCAAAGTAAAAAGGTTCTGCTTTATGTTTTTGCTGCATCTTTTTTTTTTTTTTACTTATCTTTTAGACTTGTCTAAATTAAGATAAACAGTAACCTTAGAGGCTATTTATATGCTGGAGTAGTTGCATGCATTTCTGTACCTTGACTCTCAGTTTGTTTTACCTGTAATAAGCTGCCGCCATTACTACTGCTAAAAATGGTGTTGATTCATAGATTTTTTTATTTTTTTTGTTACTTAAGCATTTTTTTTAGAGTGTGGACTGCATTTAATCAAACAATAAATTATTGAAACTGATCAAACCTGTGCAGGATAGCATACAACAGAAATGAGTAATATATAAAACAGTAATTATATTTGTAAAAATTATAAATATATATATATTTTCTAATGCATTCCTATAATTGAATATTGTAAATATAATTAATCTGAACAGAGGTTTTTTCTTCTTTTTGTGTCATGTAGGCTTATGGCTTCTGGCAAGATGCAGACTGGAATATTGCTTTTCATCAACAATGGCTTTTTTTTTTCTTGCATATCTGTAACATGGACCAAAAATTATAAATTAGGGGTGCATCGACTACTCGTTTAATCAATGGATCGAATTCTATTTCTGCAATCCAACTGCATCGATCTGTGCCCCGGAAATTATAAATTAAACCGACATGAACGAGTCTAAAATTGTTTTAAAAGGCAGTTAATTATTTGTATCTATATTAGGAAATAACAAATTGAAGCATGGTAGTTCTTTCCTTCTAGATGCATTTTATGTGATTGTTTTTGCTGCTGCAGCAGCATCAAGGTAACATCAGCCCTTCTTAGAGCTGACCGTTAGTTGACTTTCTTCATTACAATGTCAGTAACAGCAGGTTTAACTAATTCACCAGAAGCCATGTCAATTGCATATATCATTTTAGATTAATATTAATATTCTATTTTTAATTTTTTTCATGTTTAAAGCAATGTAAGCAAAAAGTAAATTTACGTTTGATTTTACCTGAAGGAATTTTGCCCTTTTATGGTAAAGTTGTAATATTTTCAAGTAAAAAAAAAAAAAAAAAAAAAAAAAAAAGCAGTGGAAACAGCAGGTAAGCCTACAGCTAAATAAAAAAAAAAGCTTTATTATTGAAAATATGACGACAAAGGTTA